CCCACAGGATATTGCCCAGGTTAGGCTTGCCATTTTGAACCCACACACGTGTAAGCCTGACCAAAAAGCTAATTTAAAGTGTTTGAAAACATTTGCACAAGTTTCTTGTATCAAAAACATATTTTTTTTAAAAAAGGTGTGATGTGCCACTTGGTCACTGTGAAGGGCTTCTTCTTAGCTGCCAAACTGGATATTGTGAAACTCTGCGAAAAGAGGAAAAGGGGAGGAAGGGGGAAAAGTTGTCTGACTGTAAGAGGGCTCATGATTGCAGTGGTGGGAGGGCAGACCAGCTAGTCCTGCCACAGTCTGCTGGGATCCCAATGGGAGGGCAGAGGGGGAACAATTCATCGTGAGCCCAATTGTCTGTTTGGCACACCGTGGGCTATTTCACAAACCCACCTGGTGTAGTTATTTGTAGGATGTGTTACTGACATGGAAACCCACCCATTCTGTTAAGGACTGTAATTTATATGTAAACGCTTTTAATTAACCCTCTGCATTGAGATTTTTGTGCATAGAACCGGCTTAACTCAAACATGTTTGTTTAATGATAATTAGGAGATTTCTTCACCTATCTCAAGGAAATAGACAAAATTATGAAAATATAGCATAGTATATGTGAACACCAACAAAGCAGCATAAGCAATTCTTGCATAATATCAGTATGCTGTCACCTCCACCCACTCTTCAGGCATTTTAGGGCCAAACCAGATGTTATATGAAGCTGTGTGCAGCTAGATTGGTGTTTTTTCTTTAATTAATGACAAGCAAAGGTAGAGGCCAAAATAAGTTTCCTTCCCATTAATTGCAGGATAGAGTGCATATTATGTTAGGATTTTTGTTACCAAATGGTTTAGCACAAGATCAGTACAGGTTTTTAAGCCAGATAACACATTTCTATGGGCAATGGTTCATTATTTTAATAATCTTTATTAGCAAAAGATGCTATAGTTGGTTTTTTCTTCTGAAACAAACCCATTTTATTTCATGGCAAACTCATGACTGGGGGATTGTTAAAGTTGTATCCCAACACATGTGGGGGGGGGGGGGGGGGGGCAGGTTGGGGATGGCTGAAATAGGTAAAGAGCACCTCCATGGCAAAATCCTTGGAGAAGGCAGGCATGCTAGGAAAGTCAAGAAACAAGAAGACCAAATATGAGATGGATTGACTCCATAAAGGAAACCACAGCCTTGAATTTACAAAAGCTGAGATTGGCCCTCATGCTGACATTTGGGAGAGCTTTCATTCACTGGGTCGCCATAAGTCAGAGGTGACTTGATGACACATAACAATAACACCTCCTTTCGTAGAAGCAGTGGAACTTTGTATGCAAGAGGGTGGAGGCAAACAAGAAGGGGCAGCCCCCAGTTTCTTGCTCTGCTTGTGAACCCTCAGATACATCTGAATGATTGTTCTGAAAAACCGAATGCTTGTGGATCCCAATCCAATTCGGGAAGGCAGTTCTTAGGCTCCTAAATTCACAGCTGCTGCGTCTTTTGTGCTCCAACCTAGCCACCCTGTGTTCAGGAAGGAAATGGGAAACAATTTCAGATGTATTGTCAAACTAGAGATGTGACTTTCAGCATTTTGTTTTCTGCTAAGACAAATGGAAACATTGCAGTTTATACAGACACAGTTTCTGCAAAACTTCATTTACTTCCAGTTCAAGTCAGTTAGTAATATTTCATTCCAGAAGGATTCGGTGTGCTTGAAGTAGCTCTGTAAAAAAAAAAAAAAAAAGAAATGCAAGAGGTACATTTTTCCCTCCAGGCAGATGCTGTAATGGGGAAAACTTTGTTGTTATATACCATCAAGGCATCTCTGACTTATGGCAAAAGTATGGATGAAAGCCTTCCAAAAATTCCTGTCCTTCACAGCCCTACTCAGCTCTTGTAAACAAAAAGCTGTGGCTTCTTGTATGGAACCAAGCCATTTCATAGTTGGTCTTCCTCTTCTTCCTCTACCTTTGACTTCCCCTAGCTTTGTCTTCTCCACTGAAAAGCTGGGTTTCGATTTGTCACTCAGGTGCTAAAGACACAGGAGCCTGGCAAAAAATAACTGGTGACCACAAGTACATGAGTCCCCGTGTTGTGAGTTCCTTCAGATCCTCCATCTTTTTCTTCAGTGCGCTTGGCAAATATTTTTATTTCAAGAAGTTTCTAATGTTTGTCTGCCTTAGTGGGTAAATATTTTAGATAATCTTTTATTGCTGGTATTTTGGCTTCTTTACAATGTTATTGCAGTTTCTAGATGCAGTTGTGCCAGAAGGCACATTTGCTTGCTCAAGCAAGGAAATTGTTTAGTAGTTGTTTCACCTGTTCATTAGAAATGAGACCTCAGCTTTCCAATAGCTTAGTCTGGAATTGGGTGTACCCCTCTCACATGGGAGAATAATGACCTCAACTCAGACTTCATCATGCTCCTAGTAACATTGTCCATCACCCCCTGCAGTCTCTCTCCCTGCCCTCTTCCAGTTACCTGAGCTGAAGGTGATGGTGATGATGGTGATGCCGATGGATGGATGCCTCCTTCCCTTCCTGCTTCCCTCCCAGAAATGTGCAGTTTTCCCACCATGACTGAATATTTTTGTGGGTTTCCAGGACATTTGTTGACCATAAAAATAATAATATGGGTTCCCAGATCTCCAGTGTCTTGGACACTTCTCTAGAAGTGTTCAAGCTGACATGGATGTAAGGAGGAAGGCTCTTGAAATAAAAGGCCGTTCTAAATGGGAGGGTGGGGCTTACAGTCTATAATATCTGAAGGGCACCTGGTTGGGGAAGGCTGATATAAGGTCTCAAGGTCCAAAAGGTGAGATGTGAAGCTGAATGCAGTCTATCCTGATCCACACAAGACAGTATAATATTAATTATTAGATGTTCAGCAATGTGTTCATTTTATCTTCTATTATCCTTCTTTAAAAAGGGATCTAATGTTGGCCATATAAACACGAAGGCCACCAGGGGGCAACTTGCAGGGAAACTGATCATCTGAGCCAAGAAATAACCAATTCAGTTTCATGAGCAGAGTCCAAGGTCTTTCTTCCTAACCCCACAATCAGTGGCTAATTTAACCTCTGTTAGTTGTCTTCTGCCTTTAAATTTCCCTAGCATGACTGGCTTCTCCAGTGAGTCTTGCCTTCTCATGATGTCTTAAAATATGACAGTCTCAGCTTTTGCTTCTGGGGAAAGTTCTGACTTGATTTGATCTAAGGCCCACTTGTCAGTCCAAGGTATTTGCAAAACTCTCCTCCAGCACCCTATTTCAAATGCATCCATCTTCTTCCTGCCAGTTTTCTTCACCGTTCAGCTTTCACACCTAGATATAGTGAATACAATAGGGTTGATTACCTTGGCCTTGGTCTCCAGTGAAATATTGTTACACCTTTCATCTGACGATCTTTCCTAGTTCCTTCACTGCCGCCAGTCCAGTCTTTTCTGAATTTCTTGGCTGCAGTTTTCCTTTGAATTGACGATTGAGCCAAGTTATAAATTAATGTACATTTAGAAAAATACATGTTGTGGGCTTCTTGGTCAAGTGAGAAGTTGTTAATCACATGAATATTTTTGTATGTGTGCATAGAAGGGGATTGCCTTATTTGGTGGGCTAGTTCCAGTGTCATAAATTGGACTTCCTATTCTTCCTTCCCGCTATGTGATCTCCAGATCTGTTGCGGAGGTTGTCCTAACTCCCCAGTGCAGATTATATATATATTTTGGGGGGGGGTGAATTGAGAAGATAAAATCCGTTCTACTGACAGATGACCAGAACTGGATCCAACCCATTTTATGTACGAATCTTGTTTTATTAACTTGCTATTCCAGTCCTTGGAATACTCCAGTCCACAATGTTTTGGCACATTACTTGTACTTTGCTTTTCTTGTACGTGCACAGCAGTAGTAGCATGGCAGCTACACCGTCAAAATAAGTAGCTTTAAAATAAAACAGAGAATTCTGTAGAACGTCAGCAATGCTCCTATGCCTCCCTGTGGTTACTTCCAATCAGCTCAGATCTGTTTCTGCAAGCATGAATGATTTCTACTTACATAGGTGAACTGTGACTATGCTGCTCATTATTTCGACACAAACACAGCTAAGAATTGTCTGTTTTCATTACAGCTGAGACTGACAGCAGAATCTTCCTCTTCACTTTCAGAGAACTATAGAGCTGGAAGAGACCTGCTTGAAAGGACCACAATATTGTCTAGAATGATTTTGCTCAGTGTTCAAAGCAATTCACATGCTTTAGCTCAGTAATCTTTGCAATATGCCCATGTGGGAGGCCACTATAATTATTTCTGTATTTATTAAAGATGGAGAATCAGGGCTGAAAGATGTTAAAATGGATTAATTCAAACAGCAATAGCAATTCATTCTCACCTCTGAGATGTAGGTGGACAAATGGAAGCCAGTGTGGAAATGTCTAGCCAAATTATCATTATGACTAAAGGCAGATCAGTAGAAAATTAGTCATTTAAGTCTCTTCTATAAACATAATTTATTCCAAGAATTTCAGGATGGTTTCCAAAGAGTAAAGATGGCATGTTATATCATAGAAATGAAATATATTTTACAGAAACAGAATTTATTTGAGAAACAACCACTTGGATGCAGTTCTTATACAAGTTTAGGCAATGCCCCCACCTCCTAGCAAACAACAGCCAGAGTGTACAAGAAAGATGATTATTACTAAGAGATGCCTTAAGCGCAGCAAAGAATATACAGGGAATATACACAATGGAAAAAATGTCAAGTACAAAGTGTGTGATTAAAAATTCTGGTACAGAGCTGAAATGAGGACATGCCCAAGCACATGAAGGATTATAACCTGTCAGCTTTTCCTGAGCTGCAGATGAGGATTCAAGATAATGCATGTATTTATTATGTATTATTATTAATTTGGACAACTTATATGCCACCCCATTCACATAAGCCTTGGGGCAGCTTCCAATCATAAATGAATACAAGCCATACAAATGCATAAAATACTGGAGATTCACTATCCTATAAGATATAATATGTAAAAATATTAATTCCAAATATGTCTTTTATCTGTTTTGAATTAGGTTCTTAGGCTATAGTCCCATATCCACTTGCATGGGAATAAGCCCAACTGATTTAACCTGCCCAACAATGGTCATGGGTATTGTGATTGATATAATTGCAATGTTTGTTTTTTCTTGCTGAATAAATTGCATTGTCTGATACATTTCTACTGTCGTAAGACTGGTGATAAAATTAAGATCTCAAGCAAAAAACAGCAACTGCAGTTCTGGATAATCTTGAAAAAGCTAAGCAACAATGGAAACACCAACCTTTCAGATTCTTGTTGGGCTGCCATTCCCATCTGCCCCAGCCAACATAGCCAACAGTGAGTTCTGATGGGAGTTTCAGCCTAGCATCTGGAAGGCTACATGTGGTGTATCTGGAAGGCTGGGCATTGCTACTCAAAAGGAGGGATGCCCACCTCTAAGCCTCAAAAGCAGGTAGACAGTGTCTTGGCTGCTAATCTTGTAAGAAGCTAGCATCCTTGTGTCATCCAGCTCCTGGTCATTATAGGTCAGGCGCTGCTGGTTTGCAACTACACCTGTTCGCTTTTCAATCTTTCTTTTCAGGTCCATAACAGTTTCATTGGGCGAGACTGTGTACACTAATGATCTGCTGTTGTAGTCTCTCACGTTAATCTTCATCTCTTGTGCTTTAAGCAGGAGAGTGGTGTCGTAGAACAGGCCATAACTTGCTAAAGTCTGTTCATTCTGCAGGTCTATTGTCCCTGAGTCTGGTTTCTGCAGGGTCAGGGCCATCTCACTGACAGGGATACAGCACTTGCTTCCCATGCTTTCCTTGATCTTCTGGATGGCGGTGTAAGGACTTCCTGTAAGTTTAGCCAAACTTGCTCGTGTTCGCCCATCTTGCACCGTCACCTGAATGGCTCTGGCTGGCTGGAAGAGAAAGGGCATGCAAGTGATCAAAGCACTAAATGCATTTGGTTAGGAACACACATGTTGAAACTCACAGGATCAGGTAGCTTGTGGACGCTTGGGAAGCTCCATACCTGTGTACACTTTTACCTAGGAGAAAGATCCACTGAACACAGTGGGGCTTACCTCTGGGGAAGCATGGACAGCTGCTTTTGCACGCTGGCTGGCTTTTGCAAGTCACCTGGTAATTTTGCCCACATGACTTTTTCAGAACTGATACCAAGCAAGGTGATTTGTTTGTTTACAGCTTTGTACAACAACCTTCAGGCCTTTGGAATTGCCTACTTCATGTGACTTTAGAACAAGTCTGCAAATTACCTGCTTCTTAATACTAAGGGGGCATTACTAAATTGCAAACTCTATCATTACATCTTTCCCCTTCAACATCAAATGGTACTAAAAAGAAAATTAAATGATTGTTATAACATAACAAATATAAATAAAATCAGATAGGTAGATAAAGATTGGTGTGATACGTGAACATGCCCTGTGGCTCTTAATAATCTTTCGTATGCCACAGGAATAAGTCAGGTACTAGCTTCTAGCAGGCCCTCCCCAGGACAGGATGTGGCTCGCATTGTTGATGTGACTTGTACTTTAAGTAGGCAAAGCCACCTTCTGCCAGAGTTGTTTTATCCTGATTAAGCTTAGACATCTCCCAGGCTCATCTTTTTTTACATTTCTGAATGCCTAGCTGACACTTGTGGATTTTCTGCTGCTTCTCCATATGGAGGCTACAAGGTATAACCGCTTTGCTCCCCTTGAAGATCAGGCCACCTGTCACTGTCAGGTCACATCTACAATTCCAGTAGCTGCTGCTACTCATTTAGCAGCTGTCCTCAGCCTTAGACAAGCCACTACTCATTGCTTGCTTCAGGTCCTGCAGTGAAGGGTCAGTATCAGTTTCCTCTGTGTTTGTTTGTTTTCAATTGCCACTGGAAGGGAAATGATAAGCAAATCTGCATAAGCTTGCATTTCCGTCTCAGTCTAATCCACCTCACAGGGTTGTTATGAGGATACAACAGAACTATGTAAACCACTTGGGTTCCTCCCATGAGGAAAAGAAGCAGTATATAAATGCAATGTGATAATGTTGATAAGAAAGTAATGTCTGCTAGCAATGATTTGGGGGAAACAGCTCTGGAAGGTGTGTCCACAGGGACCTAACATGTGTCTGATCACAGCAAAATCCTGTATCTGATTTGATCATCTTTTGCTGACTTAATACACAATAATTCACTAGTTTGCTACAGAAAGTTCAGAAGTAGGAAATATTTAGGCCTTGAAGATTGTCCTGGTGGGACATTTAGGCCTGATGGGAAACTAGCTTATGTGTATATGATGAAATGATGAAATGCAGTTAGTACATACTTTGGAGAAGACTCAGGATGTAGTAAATCGCCTGTGATTACCCACAATGTAATCCTGGTCTGTTCTATCTTACATTTGATTTTGATACAAGATGGAGCCAGTGCTGGTTGTGACTGACCATCCAAGCAAGCAGCTAAGTGGGTGTGAATTGGCCTATCTGTGAGTGTTGTAATTTACATAGCTAATAATGGGACAACTTTCTCTGTATAAACAAAGGATGTTAACTAAACAAGGGACATTTCTGTGGAGGGCAGACAGACACACTTGTTGCCGTTCATGTTTGCAAAGATCCTTCTTATTTAACAGCACTTAAAATGGCCTTATCTGGGCCTTATTCTCCTCTGTTTCCAGCTGCATAGCCAGATAACTGCTGCAAGTTAAATAGATGTGCATCCCTTTCTCCTTCTTACACCATGCATTATTTCTGGATCCAAATGCAGACTAGAGGAATGACTTAAGATATAACTTCATTTTAGGAGCCCCTCAGAACCTCTTACACAAAAACTGACAAACCTTTGGAGCTGGCCAGGTCACATGATCTTAGGACCGGTTCTCAATTGACCAATTCCTTAATACTAAGGGAGTGACCCTAAATTATGAACTCTGTCATTGCATCAGTGGTGAGACATTATGGAAGTTACAGACCAAAAGTTGCCACCCTTTCTGTAAGGAGCATCAGCTGTGAGTCTAAGGACGCTTTTCATGGGACATATTGATGAACAGGGCTACCACTCCTAAAACTAGGCACAAGGGATAATCTCTGGAAAATCAGATAGCCTCTTCAATATGAGACACATGTTCTACTTAAAAATCTTGGAATAGTCAGTAGCAATGTTTTAAATGTTACATCCAAAGCGGCCCAAATGCAGATGATTTTCTTAGCTGGATATGGGGACGAGCCCTGCATATCAACAATACCTGCACATCCCAGGATTTAACAGGCTCATTTTTGTTCTTGCAGCATGCCCAAGTCAGGCAAAGGCGAGCTTCCTCGGCCAGCAGGTTCCAGCCTTTTCCCATGGCTGTATTTCCTGTTGGATCTGAAGGATCCATGATCACAGGACTGCAAACACAAACATTTCCCATTTTTTTAACAAATTACAAAATACTGCATAGATTCACAGGATAACAACAAGAAACACAGAGTATATTATCTTGTTAAACGAATAAATGAATTGGTTATTCCAATATATTACCAATGAAGCCTACTTCTCAATAAGCTGTTCTATATTTGTCACTGTCCCCTCACACCAGGCGTAACCAACCTGTCACCCTCTGCCTGATTTCAAGTTGTCAATTAAGAGCAATCTGTCTTTCACCTGAGAGACAGATGGTTCTTGGGAATGCAGGAAGAAAGAAAAGAGGGTAACACCTTGCTATAAATATGTTATTGTTCCTATAATCATTGATCTATATACAAGAGGCTTACCTGCCAGACCTGGAAAAGATTCAAGCCTCCAAAATATCCCCAAAATATCCCCAAAATAATAGTCCAGAGTCCCCAGATATATCCCAAAATTTCTAGGTTATCATTTGAAAGTATCAGGACTTTTCTGTCCTTGTACTGAGCTGTGCCAGTTGCCACCAATCAATCCTAAGTAGAGCTGCCCAGAAACATTGCTGGAGAGGGTGATCTTCCTTCCCCTTCCTTATCAATTTTCAGAAGATTTGGAACATTGGCCAACTGAGACAGGACTAAAAAAAAAAAATTGGGCCTGGCTAAGCTCTGAAAGTCTCAGCTAACCATTAACTGATGTGAGTGCTCACACCAACCAACCACAAAGAGACTACACGCTATGCATGCAGGTGATTGAGAATCTGTCCAGTTTTATGAAGCCTGCATGGATAACTAACATTGGCTTGGTTTTGTGTGCCAGTGACTGACTCCAGACCCAACCCTTAAACTTTTCACTGAGATGGGCAGGAAGCAAGCAGCATATGCCACACTGAGTGACCTGATCTGGGTGACACAACAACCCGCCTTGTTTGTTCTTGCAGGTGGGTCATCATGTTGTGAAGGCAGAGTTCTTACCGTTTTTCTCCCAGCCTTTTTTTCACATATGCCTCTATTATGGAGTTCTTAAAATCATAGTACTTAGTCCAATAAATGCAGAGATCTTGATACTGAAGCAGCAGGTTCATCACTGTACAAAACCCTTCCGCTGTGTTGAATTGCTCTGCCTCCTTGGTGCCTTCCTGCCAAGCATAGACAGTCAGCAACTCCAGGGCATACTTGGAGGGTAGCTTTGATGATGGGTCAGTCTGCTTGAGCTTCTGTTGAGGTGGGGGGGGAGGGGGGAGAGAGGGAGGGGGAGAGAGCCATCCAAATAGAAGATATTACATATTCTTGCATTCTCATTGTATGTCAGCCAGATTAGAAGTGTGGCAAAATATTTTATCTCTCTACAACAGCTTTCCTGTTGTAGAGGAAATGTCCAAATTCAGACATTTTAGATTAACCCCTCGCCCACATATCTTACCAATTCCAATGTCCATGCTCACTGGGGCTGATGGGAGTTGAACTTCAGGATATTTGGTGAGCATCAGGTTGGGGAAGGATTTTCCGTACAGACAGGTGTTCATGCATGCGTGCAACCTCACTTGCTGGGCAAGTACCCTTTCTGGAATGGCACCGTAAGGACTATGCACTGCCAGCCGTGACATGACCCTGAAGCTGCAGCACCCCCTACTGCACCCTGTCTACACATTGAACCAGACATGTGGAAAGGGGTGTCTATGATGCACTTATGTAATGTTCTCTGTTTAACTGAAGTGACAACAAAGCCACACTTCATCCATAGAGATAGCAGGGCAAGAGCAGGCAATCAGCAATGCACAATCAAAATAAGCAATAGTGAGCAAAATTAGCCAAACCAAGGAAGATAAATAACAAGGCAATCACTGTGATAGTACACCGAAGGGCAGCACGAACGGGGACAGACTCACAACCCTACCAAATGAGAATGCCTGGGCAGACACAACGTTCCAACCTGGACCCTGAAGAATGCAGCGCTGCACTGCCACAGAATGGGCACTGCATCGCCAGGAGGACACTGCAGAGAAACTTCTTCGTCGTTGCGTGAGGCGCTTCCTCTCACGGGGATACACGGAGAAGGGCCTCGCCAGAGAGCAGAAGGATGAGCCTGCTTGTTAGTGTGCCATGCAACTGGGGCTTCTGCATGCTTGGAGGCCCTCATGGCATGGGGCGCCTTTGCGCGTGCCTCTGTGTGCACGCAGGCACTCGTTCGCAGAGGTCCTGCTCTACGCGCAGACGGGTGGAGGCTGGGTCGGCAGGGTTCTGCAGTGCTGGGGCCTGTGGAGCAGCTCTACCCCTCCACACATTTCGTGAGTGGGGAGGGAGTCTCGGGCCTAACAATAAGCTTCCCTGGGGGATTTTCCCGAGTGACTTGCCCCCATGGCCTTGGCTGCTACTTTGTAAATGAAGCTGTGGCAGGGGTGGTGCTCCTTGCCATTACATTTGACTTTGACCAGAGTGGAAAGTGGGTTAGTTCTTCAACTAACCCAGAACCCATGGCCTGTTCTAGGGCTGTGGGCTATTTCGTGCTCACCCTGGCCAGGTTCACATGTAACGACAAGCTATGGGGTACTTCTCACTGTGGTTTGCATTTAAACATTTGGATGGCACAGGATGACAAGTCTCATTGGTAAATTAGCTCGTGCTGGCTTGTCGCTACATGTGGAGCATCTCCTTGTCTTGACCATCAGTGCTTGGCTGGTTCCACCTGTTTTGCCACACCTCAAGGCCAAGAAACTTGTCAGGACAAACAATTACAGGAGAAAGACTCAGTTTGTTATCAAGAGCCAAGCCCTGACACCAAAGCCCTGCCTTCCACTCGCGTTTCCACACTCCCAGTCATGGGAGCCTTCATAGAGAAGCTGCATGCGCCTTTGGGGTTGGGCTGCCTCCAGGACAGCTTGGCGGCATTCCTGCCTGGGGAACAGCTTCTTCCATCTTGCCTCCCAAGGGCCAGCCAGGCGGGGAGACGCCCTGAGGAGCAGGGTGCCCTTTCCTGGCTCAGGGCATGGGAGCCTGGTGAGAGGAGGGTCTCTTTCTGCGGCTAGGATGATGTGCCTGGTGCTTTTTACTTTCTTCTGCTGCGTTTGCTGCGGGTGAAATAGCTTTACTGTAGCGTTTTCTAACATGAACTGTTTAGTGCACTGTTTGATGTGATTATATATTATTACTGGTGCTCAAAAGTGTTAGCTGACCTACTAGCACTCTTCGTGCTCATTTAAATTTTGATATGTTTTAAATGAACTGCAGTTTTATTAATGTTGTATTATAATTAGGGTGATTATTTTATGATCTGTCTTAAGCACAGTGTACTGTGGAAAAATGCCCATGCAAATTACATAACTGTTTCACCTTTTGGAATTGGAATTTAATTAATTAATAAAAATGAAGGCCTAAATGAATAGGCCAACTGAGTGCTAAGACATCTCTTGGTGTCCATTCATGTGTAAATCTAACTGTTAGCAGGATCTCTTTACAGATAACAGGCACAGTGGCTGATTTATGAAATGAGAGATGCTCAGGCCCAAGGTTTGTCAGAGAAAGGGGAAAGCTGAGTCACAGGTGCAGCCATTCATTTATTTTATTGCAATTACATCCAATATTTCCTTCAGGGAACTCCAGGTGGCAGTGTGGTCCTGTCTTCAAGTAGGCTATGCTGGGAGGGAGTGACCGCTTGAAAGCCACCCCCTGAGCTCCTTGGCTGAGTGGGGATTTGAAGCCCTGTCTCCCCAGCCCTGGTCCAAATGCTGGCACAGCAGCATCTCACCCTCTCCAGGACTCCCAGGTCCAAGGAAGGCAGGGCCACGGGGAGCTGCTCCTTGTGCGCCACCTCCCCTATAGCAGCGGGAGGCCACCTTTTGGGACTGTGGGCAAGCTGGCAAGTTGAGAAGCTGTCCTAGGCTCTTTACAACACGGGCGGCATTGCAGTCACTGAGGACAAGTGGAATCCGCTCCCCAGAGAGGTCACCTGCCCAAAAGACTGAGCACAAGGCCAGGGCCAGGGCCAGGGGTGGAGTGTCTAAGCCCCAGCCCACTAAGCAACTGCTCAGAATTCATGGATTTTATTGCCAGCTCATTTCACAGAAGGCAAACTCTTTTCCTCTCCCCTGTGACTCAAGCCAGCCTACTCATTTCCTCTCTTTCTCCCTCTGGATCCCCACCCACACACAATCGCTTTCACATCCCACAGCATCGCCCAAAGACACACTCTAATAACTTCCCCCACCCTATAGACTTATTTATTCATTTGGGATATTTCTAGCCCGTCCAATCACTTTCCTCTCTGGACAGCTCACAACCAGCCTCCATCCACTCGCATGCGCACAAGCCTCCGTGTATCCATCACACACGTCCAACCACACTCACACCCATCCCTTCTCTTCCCTGCAAAAACATAGAAACACGCTCACTCTTTTTTCAAGATTCCTCCAAAATCCCTCCTAAGTGCTCTCTCTCTTTCTCACACCCATACAGACCCCGTGCACACAGACTTAGAAGCACACTGCCCTTCCCAAACTGCCTCCAGGCAGTGCTTAGCTGGCTCTCCTAGGCCCCAGGCTTGCTTTCCCCAGCCCCTCTGGCATCTGGCTGGCTTCCCTGAGCTAGTCCACTTTTGGCCTTCCTGCTCCCAGAATCTCCCTAGCCCCCCTCTGTTCCCTTGGCTTCCCCCTACACAAATTACCCGAGATAAGTCCCTCGTTCTTCTCCCCCTCCTTTTCTTTCAGCTCAGCCTACTGTGAAGGAATGTGCTGGCCTGCAGCCAAATGCCATCTTCATTTCCTGAGAACATCTCTGAAGGAAATGAAGATGGCAGAAGCTGGAGGGCCTCGCTGTGTCTTGGAGCCAACCCAGCTGCTAATGACCCCAGCTGTTATCCAGTGATTCTTCTCTGGAATTTTTAGGTTTATATTTTTATAGGAATGATATGAAATGCTTTGATAGTTCATTGGAAAGCAGCGTATAAATTTGTGCAATACAGTTATAAATAAGAAAACTTTTTTTTAATGAAGTAGGAAGGTACAAAGGAAGGCATTTGATGGTGTTCTGTGCTCACAGGTGTCTATGGGGATTGGAAGAGAAAGGACCAGTATCTTTAGATAGCCCTGTGTTGGGCTCACAGGGTTAAGAATTCAGTATGCAGCTGTCTGGAGAGGAAGCCAAGCAGGGGTGGGCAACCCTTCCTTCACTTCAATTCTACTGAGGAAAAAGGCTTACCTTCTTGTATTCCTTGTACCAGTGCTTGACCAGCCGCAAAAGACCCTTGAATTTGGGTGGACGGTGCTTCACAAAATTTCTCTGCAGCTCTGTGAAGCAAGTACAGAATTCACCGGGCTCCCCTTTGGTCTCGATGAGGTTTACATAGACCCATTCTGGTGGCTTGCTGTCATGGGTTATCTGACCTGGAGTGAGGAGAAGGAATCCAGGCAGGTGATCAGCTGCTTTGCCCTTCATTGACCATTGAGGAGAGAGGAAAAGTTTTTGCCAGCAGATTTCTTGGCTAGGAGCCTTTTTCTGGTGACACTAGAAAAAAATGCTCCTAGATGTGCCCCAAATATACACTTAAAGCTCTGCCTCTCCTTTTGTCTTTGGCACCCATGCACTGCAGCTGCCACAGCATGTGAAGCTAAATTCCAGTTTATCAACTGATCTAAAAGCTGAGACTACAGTAGCTGGAAATTAATGAAGTTGGACTGAGATGTCTTTATTTCATTCAGACAAAGCTATTTACTCACTGAAGTGGTGAACAACATGGCTACATTACTTTTATGGTAACCATTTATTTGCTATGCATTGAGTGGAAACTTTAAAAATGTATTTTAGGCTGATATGAAATCATTGTGGAGGATAAGGCTAGCCATGGCTAATAGTCCTGGTGTCTCATATTACCTCCAGTACACAAGATCTGTTCTGTTGTGTTCACTCCATTAAGCTAATTGCTAGGAGATTTAGGATACATAAAAGCATCACTTTTTCACACAACACATGGTTATACCATGGAACTCACTTCCACAGGATATGGTGATGGCCACCAATGTGGACAACTTTAAAACAAGAATGGACAGATTCATGGAAGGCTTGGTTACTAGTCCTGATGGCTATAGGTTATTTCAATATAAGAAGCAGTAAGCCTATGGGGAACATGAGTGTGCGCATGCAGGCACTCATGCACCATTTCCAGGTTTCCTACAGGCAGCTGGTGGGACTCCGTGTAAACAGAATGCTGAACTAGATTAGCAGGTGGACCTTTTGATCAGATCCAGCAGGGCTGTTCTCATGGACATCAACACACTTGGCAATTATTTTCCAAACCCTTCTTTTTTGAGAAGCGTGCTTTTGGAGAAGGAATTTTACTTTGGGAAGCTAAGTCAGTCAGGCATCAGAGTTGGAGTTTAGCACAATCTGCAGATCTGGAATTGGGTAATGAAGAAATTAGCATTGAATCTAGTCCATTCAGGTGACTTATTGATTACTTCCGGGTCAGGAAAGAATGAACCATTCGTCTATTAAGAATTGTCGGTTGCTAAATGATTGGCACCTGACAGTGTAAGAGGCAGCACACTGCATTTGAAGAGAAAATTATCGTGAGGCTATTCTTTGACTTTTCTGCTGTGTTCTTATTGCAACTGTGGAACAATACCAGTTTGTTACCGCAGGTAGCTGCGGTAACCAAATGCTTCTTTCCTGGGTGAGGAAATGAAGACAGTCAGCATGACAAGCGGCTCCAAGCACACGTGACGCCCGTGCTTGGGAAATGGTATTCACGTACTGCCAGCACAGCTGGTCTTGGAGATCTGCCCTGAACACCAGGCTGAAGGGGACATTAAGCACAGCTCAGTGCCTGTTGAGTATACTCAAGTATACCTAGTTGAGTATGAGTTGGGCAGGGCGGGGAGAGGAACAGGTGTCTCTAACCTCCCCCCATCCAAAGTACTCTAGGCTGTTTCCATACTTGCTATGAAAGTGAACTTCCATCTACTAACTGGGACATATTTCTCCCCAGTCTCCACTTTGATACATTTTTTCCAGATCCAACTCATTAGAACATCTTGAATTTGGAGTTTTTGCAATTCTGTAGAAGCCATACAAGCTGACAACATAGCAAAATGGACCAGGAGTTAAGAGATGCAATGAAGGCACTCTTTGATCAGGGCATTATATATCCTAGAACTTGCCCTGAAAATGACAAAACCAAATAGAAGGACCATGTCCAGTTTCTTACCCAAAACATCATAGGCTGGAAGAATGTCCACTTCAACTGCCTCACTTTTCCTTTTTGACTGGAGAGTGAGAGTGAGCGAGCGAGGCGGTTTGCCCTTCTTCTTCGGGGGCTGGATAGTGACACTGAAGGCAACACTCTGGCAGCAAAGCTTGAGATTCTGCTCGATAGTATAGATTATACGTTCACGCTTGTCAGCCTGATCCTGGAAGCTGAAGAAGCAGTTCAGGAAGACAACCAGATCAGCATCTGAATTGTCTTCCAGTGTTGTCCCTTTTCCTGCAGAACCACCCTGCAAAGACAGAAGGGTTTATTTACTGTGTCACTTAGCATTCATCTTGCCCTTGCATTACACTTAGTGAACAAATACCTCTCAGATCTGAATTCTGGTAAAGGGGAGCACTTTACCCTGTTCCTAAATGGAAAAAATAAGAACGAGGACTTTTCGTTCCTAGACCTTCCTTCACCCTTGCCCCATGAGGGAAATCCTGCATGGATCTCCATCTCCTCAGCTGGATCAGTACAAGGATAGAGTATAATCCTACCATTAGAGCCACCATACCTCAATGGAAAGGGGGAATCTGTCCAAGCCAGTCTTTGAGTTCACAGGATCTAGAGGCCATACTCTTTGTTCTTTGACATTGATAATGTACAAAATAATGTTCAAAAATGTATTGGAGGAAGAACAACAAAATGGGGCATAGACAATCAGAAACCCATGAAAAATCTTCTCAAACTGCTTAAAATGTTAATTTTCCAGCACATCTATGCAATGTACATGTCATCATTGGAGGCATATTGTTAACAAGTATGTGATAGTAGAGACTGATCTAAAGCAACAGGAGGGTTAGGTCCGTATTATGTAATATCTGTAGAGATATTCCAAAGTTTGAACATGATGGATGGGATATGATCGTATGTTTTATTAAAAAGAATTCATTGTATTTCATGGGAGCTGGAAACCTGGCTGCCTGGTACAGAAGCTCTCCTGAGGTTCTGAGCAGGAGCTATGGCTGTCTCGTCACTTCCAACACTACTAATCTATGATTCTATGAACCTCACTTATATGGTTTGTTAGTGAAGGGCTCTGTACTAGCTCTGGGGCTAGATACACTGGTTTCTGCTGATGCTTCTCCTTCTTGGATTATTAGGAAGTTCAATCTCTCCAAATAAACAGCCAAACACTTCCAAAAAACATGCTGGGATGTGTGAGCGCTTCATTTTAAATTGGAGAAAAGGGAAGTAGCTTTAGTGTTTGGCTTCTCTCAAGACAGACTCATTTCCTGCCTAAGACATCACAGAGTGTGTGTGTGTAACAGAATCACCCATCCCTTATCTCCACCATTGCATAAATACTCAGGAAGCTACAGCTTGACAGGGAAAGCAGGACTATAGGCAGGGTCTATAAATTTAATAAACAATTAGCACAAGTGGCCATCGCTACATGCCTTTCTTCCACTGACCGCTGCATTTCATAACTCGTGAGCACCGATCAGAGCAGACTCACCTTTACTGTCTTGATCACCCGAGCATCCATACGGCACCGTTCTTTCAGGAACTTACAAATTCTATTGACAGCTTCTTGAACATTCTTGCAGAACTCCTCACTGGGCTGCAGGTACTCAGCGATGAAAGCATCGAGCTTGTTCGCTTGGACATCGTATAGGTTCATCTTTTCTGCCAGGTACTCTGCCATGGTGCAAAAGCAGCTACTTGCCACAGCTTGATGACTTTTATTGCTCAGCTGTTGAGGCCACACCCATGCATTTAAGGTGGACTAGATTAGGATGCTTGGGAATGTTTCTCCAGACTTGTACTATCAGATGATAGGCATAAAAGAAAAGGATTGCAGTGAAAGCACTGCAGTATTTGTTTATTTAAAACATTTTTATCCCGTCCTTTGCACAAGCCTCAGGACGGCTTACAAAAGATTAGTAATACAAAATACAGTTAAAACATTCAATAATAACAACAATTCAAAACTAAAAGAAAGAGAGGAAGAAGAAAAAGAAAATGTGACTATATAAAATGTTATTAATTTTTATTTAAATTATGAATTATTGAAATGATGGCTGAATACAAAGGTCTTTACCTGGCACTGGAAAGAGTATTATTTATTTAAAACATTTCTATGCCGCCCCATTCGCCTTGGGCGGCTCACAACATAAATTAAAATATAATACATTCAAAATATAAAACAAATTAACAAGAGTAGAGAGTTGCACCAGGCAGACCTCTCTGGGGAGCACATTTCATAGTCTGGGTGCCACTGCAGAGAAGGTCCTCCTCTGGGTAGACTCCCTCCATACCTCCTTCAAAGAGGGTTTCCAGAGCAAGGACTCCCCTGCCGATCTTAAGGGGGATGAGGGCATGTAGGGCAAGAGACATTCCTTCTGGTATCCTGATCTGGGTTTTTGCAACTTGACTTGATTATTCCATGTCCTACACACTGGTATCAGCAAGAAGAGTCTCTCCACACAGGGCATTGTTTCCAAACCCTGGATCATTTTTGTTGCCCTCCTCTGAACCTTTCCTAATTTTTCTGCATCTCTCTTAAATCTTGGTGCACAGAACTGGACGCAGTATTCTAGATGAAGTCTGACTAATGAAGAGTGTAAGGGAACTATTACTTCTCATGATCTGGAAGTAATCCTTCTATTAACGCATCCCAAAATAGCACTTGCCCTTATTGCAGCTCCATCGCATTGTTGGCTCATATTTGGCCTGTTGTCCACAATAGTTCCAAAGTCTTTTCCCTTTCCATTTCTGTTGAGCCAAGTTTTCCCCATTTTGTATTGATACATTTGGCTTCCTTTTCCTGGGAGATCTCCTTATTGAATCCCCTCATTCTATCTTCTAGGGTGTTTGCTATTGTACCCAGTTTTGTATTGCCTGCAAATCTGATCATCTCTCCTTGTACTTCCTCATCAGAATCATAATTAATCATCAATCGTTTATAATTTATCATTAATCATCTGACTTAAAAGCGTAGCAGCGTCGTGACAACTGTAAAATCATTATATGGAGAGCATAGCGTTGCCTTTCCGTTTCTCAGCTTCTGCATTTCTGAACAAGCATGAAGCATTGTGTAAGCCGGACAATATTGTCTGCATTGCACTTTCTAAGTCCTCCTTAAAGGCATCCCGGGCGAGCCTTTCATTAGTCTGGGGAAAACGCAACTAATCTGCCTACTCACCGTTCCCGAGAAAAGAAAGCGCTAGTGTGTTTCGCGCCCGGGGCAAGGCATCTAAGGAAGAGGCGGGACGCTGGCGGGACATCTTTGTAGGAAGCCAACCCCATTGCCGGGCCCAGCTCTCCTCTTCCGTGCGATCTTTTCATGTGTGGCGGCGAAGGAAAGGCCAGGTCTGCCCGAGGGACTGGAAGAAAGCGGAGCGCCGGCCTCCCCCAACCTCGCGCTTGTGCCACCATCCAAATGAGATTGCCAAGGCCACAGAAGGCAGCGCCGCCCGCCCGGTTTCTTGCCGCCCCATCAGAAGAGCTCCCTATCCCGTTCAAAGGCTGCGCCGCGCTTCTCCCAGGGGAAGCTGCTGAAATAGCTGCATGACTGACCGCAGGTCTCTGGGCTCACCCAGCCAGCGCGGACAAACTTCCCGAACAGCGGAGACGGCGCTTGTGTTGAAATGAAGTGTGGTTCTTCGTGGCTTTCTGTTAAGCAAACGCTCTCCCAGCGCTGTGATCTGTGGACCGAATTCAGCTCCCAGAATTCCTAACCATTGGCGAGAATGGCAGAGGCTTCTGGGAGTTGAAGTCTCAGCCAACCATAGATTACCTTCTGCACATGAGTAGGACTATTGTGCACGCATAGGGAGCCAGGCTCCTATTTTAGACTGTTGACGGCGTGGACAGCTGTTTCAGGGCCTGGAGAAAACCCTGCATAAAAACCATCCCGTTCACAAAACAGCACAGCCCACCATGGGTGACATACCACTGTGGGTTGTTTTGTCATATGAACCTATACCAATTACCTCAGGGTAACTTGTTCATGGGCAAGTAGCAAAACAACCCATGACTTGGGTCTTGTCATCGAAACCCTTTGCTGTTCTTTGGATATTAGCTTGGGCCACCTCAGCCACTGATGTCCAGGTGGTGTGGTGTAGTAACTGATGTCCAACTGGTACAGTTCTTTCGCACCTGCCACAGTTCCCCACCCGAATTATCCTTTGTATTTTCTTTTCCAGAAATCTCCTTTGCAATCTCTGAATTCACAGCTGTCAAAATTGTTTCTTTTTATATTGTATTTTGGGCAGGGCACTCTTAGATTTTTGAGAAGTGAATGAATGAATAAATCACTGTCAAACACCCATTGGCAGCCCTATCTAAAAAAACGAAAGGAAAAAAGGAAAAGTTTTAAAATGAAGCAGAGTTTTGACAGGTAGCCCACCTCCACCCCCACCCCCCAAAACAACAACCCTGGCTGTAGGATCTCATCACAAAGGAGGTAATCTACTGGTCACCACCCTTCACAAATAAAGACAATTTATAGCTTTGGTTTATTTTGACAGCTTACTTTCTAACACCTGTCAAGAGAAAGCAGAGTGAAAAATGAATCTCTTAGCAGCATCATGGGGTCAAAACTCATGGTGTGTGCCTGCTGCACCTTGTGTAATTTGGTGTCCTGCAACAGCAAGGGATAAGACTGATGGCCTTCTTGGCCGCTTCCAACTCTTCTAGTCTACATTTCTATCACTCTATGACAGCAGACACCCTTCAGCACATTGTCCAAGTGAAGTCTGCCATTTCAGAATCATGCAAGTGTGTGAATGTATACATTCAGAACTCTAAAAATTATTTTAAAATGTTCAAAAGCATGTGCAAATTTCTTGTGCTTAAAGCATTTTAAAAAGGGCTGATGAACCAGTGCCAGCCCTTCCAATGTGCTGCTTGGGCACTTTGAAAGGGTTTATACTACCTTTCAGATTAGATATCCTGAAAAGCAACCTTTGAAGGGGGTGGGGTTAAAAAAAGCTGTAGCAAACACAAATGGAGTCACAACTGCAGCAGGAAGAGGGCAGAAGTTGGTTTTTGCACAGAGTCCCCTGGGATACCTGAAGAGGAAAGATGGAGGAACAACCCACATGACCCTGAATATCTGTTAGGCCCACCAAGGGTTGTTGCAGTAACAACCCAGCCTGCATAGCTTACATGCTATGCATCTTACTACAAGAGAGTCAAAATTAGCAAGTGTTCAGGAAACTGTGATACAAGGTTGTTCTTTGAACATGACACGATCATCAGCTGCTGTGACTGGCTTGAGATAGTGGGGAAGTGACTCATTCTTTGGCTGTCCCTAAGGAATGTGTCATCAAGGAGGAGCTGATAGAGGGGTTACAGTGAGGTTGGAGTTGAACTTCCCCCTATATTTGCACACAAATGTAAATACTACAAAATGCTGTAAGCATCTAAGTGACTTCATTCAAAACAAGACTACACTTGGGTTGTGCTGCACCTGTAGAGTTCTCACTGCTTGGAGAATTTGGAAGTAGGGGCATGACCCTAGCCATGCTTTCTGAAAATCAAATCACTTTGGTTTTCAAAGCTTTATCTTGGGGTAAATATATGTGATTATGACTGCATCCTTAAAGATACAGGAAACTAAGAATGGATAAGAGGCAGTGTCCGTGTAGGTCCTACTGCTTGCCTCATTGCCATTCCAAATAACAAGGTCCAATTCTGAGCTTCCAAAGCTTAGACCCTAACTGCAGTTCTATGTGTTGAGTACAATATTCCATTAATATAGGAATGTTCTGTATGGAGAGTTTTAAACAGATCGTATAGAAAATTCCTGCACATTTGTATTGCATACAAATGGAACCTGCTACGAAAATTGTAGATTGGACTGGTCCTTTTCAGGATACTCCATTCCATTGCATTCCATTCCGTCAATCAGCATTTCATGCCCACTGATTATTCTTGGTGCTCATTGGGCTGTTCTGGAAAGTTGCCCTGGTTCAGTCCCCTGTGGCCCCCAGGGTCAGCCTCCCATGAAAGGGGCTGAGGTATCCGCCTCAGGCAGTGGAGGAGGAGGTACAGCCAGTTGTGTGCTCTTCTGTGTGCTGCCCACCCTCTCCCCAGTGCTGCCAGGCTCCCATGATTCACTTTGTCCTTTTGCTGCCCCCCCAGTCCATTGGCCCCCCTCAGAGCAAGTGCTAGGTAGGCCAGCAATCTTCAAGGGCCCAGCTCTGAGGAAGGACCCTTTGAACTGGCCATTTGTCTCAAGCCATGCCGTGCAGGTTGCTTTTCCATTACAAGGACTTCCACAAAATTGCTGAGCCAGATAATTATACTAATTAATTCACGATAGCCTGCCTGATCTCTGCAGCCTGAAGAGGTGGGTACATGGCTTTATGAAACCAAACAACTCTTTGTACTTTAATCACTGGAGCCATAAACAAAGGTGGGATTTTATTGACCTCCGGGAGAATCCTTCTATTTCTAGAGCAAGGACAAAGGCAACATTCTGGGTACTATCTGAAATGTATGCATTGCAGTTTTCTCTGAGGTTTCTGTTTGTGTAACATAGGATGCACCAAGTTAAAATAACTGCTTTATTACATTAATACATTCCCACCACATTGGATCCAGCACAGTCTTTACACTGCTCAAGTACATCTGGAAATGAGCAGGGCCACATCCCTCTTCCAGCAACTACTCGCATTCCCTGTTCCCTTGACCTGCACTCGCAGCCCCGGACAGTTTTCTTCCGGCCCACCAAGGTAACCCACCCCTTCCAATTCAAAATCAAATGAAATCAGATGTTTCCATGGGATTGCTGTGAATTAGTTGGTGCTGAAAACTGTGAGGTAAAAGGAGTTTAGCACATTGAGGTTTAGGCCCCTGCTCTGCCATAGGCTGACTTTTGGCCAGTGACTTGTCCTTTGCTGCTATCTATGTGTCCCATTTTGTAGTGATGACCATGGCAGTTCTTGAATTGCCAGGTTTTTTCATGGCCCAGAAAGGCTGTCTGGTTTGTTTTCCTTATAGAGTTTGCCATAGGCTGAGATAAAATACATAAATAATACCCAAATTAGTTCCTACAGATCCCCATGGCACATTCCTCTGGGCTTTCTTTTTCACCACAAAGCTCCAAAAATAGAAAGAATCCCAAATAGGATTCTCATATGCTACACAGTCAATATTATCGATTCTTCCTGGACACTGGAAGAAATGGAACAGGTGGAAAAGCTTGAGCTTTAAAAAAATTAAAAGAACATCCAAGTATGCTTGCCAAGTATCATCCAGTAGGTTTCAGCTCTTATATGCTTTTTAAACAAACCAGTCTTGGATCAAAAGGAGCTGCCCTGCCTATTATTGGCTGTTTCTGGGGTTGCAAGCCATTGTGTGACATCTGTGGACCCAGGCAGATTTCCCTGGGGTGGCTGCACTGGCAACAAGTCACCTGAACAACCCATGGCTTTTTGTAGGAATTGTTGCACCCAGAATGGGTTCTCATGTTCTCTGAACCTGGTCATTGACCTGTTCCAGGCGGGGGAACCAGCTAGCAACCCACTACCAAAAACGAAACGAAACAAAGCAAAGCAAAACCCTTGCTGACTTTGCCATGAGGCTACCAAGTGAGCCCCAATGCCAACTGGCACAGCTGCCCCTCCCAAGATCACAATCTGTTTCAGGCTCACTGTGGCTTTCCCCCTCTTGTCCTGGATTTAGCAAACTCTAGGCCAAAAAAGGTAAAAAGGAAAAAGCCATGGCAAACCCGAAACAACTTGTGATTGCAACACGGAGGAGAAAAAGCTCCTTCTTCCCGCAGGGTCTACTGGGATACCCAGGGACAACCACCTACACTGAGCCCAGCTGAGGGCTCATGACAACCCACCCGGCCATGATTTATTGCCAGGGTGGCTTGCTGTGATGCCAAGCCATGGACCACATGGAAGGTCATGTGCACCTGTGTGCTTCACAACAGCTAGGTCACCTGCAGCTTTCACACAAAACACAGGAAGCATGTCACAAATATGACTCTCCAAGCTCTTGGGTATCTTGTTTCTCCTGAAGCCTCTCCCATACGTCTCTTGCAGTGCAATCCTTTACCTGTCTAGAATTTTGTTTTCAATGGTGCTTCTTCCCAGGAAATACATATGAAGGATTGCAGCTCTAACAGTAGAAAAAGTGGTCATACTTGCGGTCTAATATTCTGAAGAAGTAACGCAGTGGTCAAACAACAGTTCTCCCCCATAAACTGAAATGGGGAAGAAGATGGTATAACTATGTGGTATGGGCGCATTTTCCTTACTGCAACAAATAGAACTTACGAAGTGCTTTCGAAGTAGGTTAGAGGATAGTAGGTCAGCCATGCCAATTCAGATGCCTCTGAAATTCTCTGGGCAAAACAGCTGGAGGTATGCTAAACCTGTCTGGGGACATACTGCTTTAGCCAGGGGCCTGAAAAGGAGGAAAACCCTACGTTTGGTATGCTAGCATGCTGCAAAGAAGTTGGGCAGGACTACAAGCCCCTCTTCCCAGCATCTGCTTTATACCAGGAGGGCATCAAGGCCAGCCCAGAACATTTTGCTGCTTCAGGCAAAGGACAAGAGGGTGCCCCACAGCTCCAACATCCATTGTGGCTTCGGATGATCTGCTCATTGCAACCTTTCTCACTGACAGGACAACTGAGGGCCAGCTCACATCCAACTGTCTCAAGTGTCGGACGATGTACTGAGGGCTAAACAGGCCTCAAAGCTTGCGTCCTTATTCTAGTACAGTTTTGCAGTGTGAATTTAATATATAATCATTCATTCTGTTCCATTCCTGAAAAACTGTGGATTTGTCTCATTTTCCTGCTCACAAGAGGATGGCTTTCAGCTGGACTAGCTGAGCGGACCACATCCTTCCCTGATGAATTTTACACCACAGAAACACCTCAAATCCCAAAGCCGGTCATCTGCAGAGACTTCTTCCCCATCTTCACCCACCCTCATGCACGCACGCATGTGTGCACGCACACACACAATCAGTCAGAGAAATTTCAGTCAGAAGGTCTACCCACAGACCTTTGGGCAACCCAACAACAGTCCTGTTCCTTCAGTCGAAGGCTCAATCCCGGTGGAACACCTGGTGGTGGATTTACATTCATCAGTAAACAAATATTGTTAATAAATACACGAGTGGTTCTTGTGTGTCTCTGGAAGCGGAGAGCACATTGCTACACTTTGGCCCACAAGGTGAGTAGGCTTAGCTATGAGAGGAAGAAAAAAGGGGCCTGAAGCCCAGCCTATCGAGAAAGAGTTTGGGGCAAGGGTATTTGGCCACTGTTGCGAGATGCATCAAGGTTCTCTCCTTGTCAGGTGATGATGTCTGAGCACCATGGGAAGCTCCAGAGCTGAAGGCCACCTCAGTCCCTAAATTTCACCTTGGCAGGCAGCAGATCCTTGAGGATGCCTCCTCCACACACCACATTCGTCTCCAGCTGTACTTCCCATGACACAGGGACACACAGGCTGCACCTCTCCATTCAGTTGGCGCCCTGATCTTTGGTCGTGCATTAGGGAAGAGGTCTGGGGTGCAGCACCTCCCACTTCTGTCAGGTTCTGCTGCTTTATGCCAGGCTCGGAGGAGCGGCAGCTACACTGCTATGATGGCGATATTCCCCTACATACTACGACTGAAGCAGCAGCCAGGATTCTGGGAGATGGTGTGGAAGGAAGGCCTCTTCACCAAGCTGGAGGAGCCACACACAGTCCTATTCTCTCTCCCCTGATCCCTTTCCCCACACTGCCCCCTGCTCCCCTGGCCCCCTCAGCAAAAAGGTTGTCCAGCCGTCTTCTCGCAGGTCACCAGATGTCCGTGCTCCGGGGCCCCCTTTCCGCACGAGGCACTTCATGTGTTCTCCGGCTGCGGGCCTTCCGTTTCTCCTCCAGGTGCTTCCACTTGTGACTCTTGGCCTTGACACTCAGTGGAGGGAGCAAGAGCGGCTTCTTCTTGGGTTGGTGGCTCTTGCGGCTCCACAGCTGCTCACACACCTGGTCCATGGTGCTGAGGTTGGGATGGTCCACCAACTGCAAGAAATCCTGATACCAGAGCTTCCGATGGAAGGGTTCCGTGGCATCCTCCTCCCAGGAGAGGGAAAGAGAGTCAGCCTGCTGGGCATAGATCACGTCAAGCCGGAGGCGGAGCAGACTCTGCGTGAAGCCATGCTCTGTGGCGTGGCAGTGGTAGAAGCCGGCGTCTCTGCGCTGCACGTTGCGCAGCAGGATTCCCCGCTCCATCCGGATGACTCGATCGTCCAACAGCACCTGGAGATTGATCAGCACAGAGAAATGGGCCTGAGAATACAACTGGGGAAGAGAGATCCAGATAGGGCAGGGGCTGAGAGGAGAGCCACAAAAGCTATAGAGGGAGGGCATCCCACCCATGGTGCTTCTGCTTAGAAACTGGCCTGTGCAGCAGGCTGCAAGGCGGGCAGGTACTGTGGCTGAGGGAGATGGAGGCTAAAGGATCTCGGCCCACGCATCACATGCTCAGCTTCGGCCAGCAGGGAGACAGGAAGATGCTTCCAAGACAAGGAGGGTTGGGAGACGAACTGGTATCAAGGAGGAACAGCTTTTCTACATGATGTTGTTGATTTGCTACATCTACTTCCAGTTTAATTGCAGAAATGAGATTTGAACACTGCATGAGGATCTTTTCCTTTCCTGCTTTTCTGCAAAATAACTTGAAGGTGGTGCTGTGGAACAGCAGAATGCCTGCACGTTCACAAAGGGAGATCATGCTTGCTTGTGCTTTCACCCTTAAATGCCTTATTTTCTCTACTCTGATTAGACACAGAATCAAAACTGGACTGTCCAAACTTTGTCTAGAAGTGCAAACAGAGAATGGTATGTAGCAGCGCCTGAAGGCAGAACTCATTCCCAGTGACGCAGGATCACGAGATCTGGCCAGCCTTCTTTCCCCTTTGCAGCCAAGCGGGTACCTCTTTCCTGGGGGCAGTGCTGCTCTTCTGATAGGTCCACACCACCTCCGCCTGCAGAGACTTAGGGAGGCACTCTAGGAAGGCACTGCTGCCTTCCACTCCGTACAGCTTCTTTTCCGGCACGGCACTTCGCTGGGGATCTGCAAAAAGAGCGGGGGTAACACAAGGGAGGTGAGCTGAAGCCAGCCCCATCTGTTAATACAGGTGAGGGAGGGAAGGCAGGAGCAAAGAGGTGCACGTGCGCCCCACGCAGAGAAAGAGCACCAGACTGGAGCTCAAGATGGCAAAAAGGGGGCACCATTCTTGGAGCAGGCTCTCCCTCTCGGGGAGCAGCACGCGGATCTGGGAAGAGGCTCTGCGTATGCGCGGGAAATACCTCTAGGATTCAGGGAACACTTGCTTGGAAGGGAGCATTTGTCCATGGGAAGGGGGAGGGATGGGATTGCTTCAGCCTGAAGTGGGCAATTTAGCTGTGAGTCATTTCTGCTTCAAGGATGGATTCCACTTGATGCCCTAGAAAAGGACTTCTACCATCTTTTTCTTTTTCGGTGGCACAGTAAAATGGGGTATCTAATTTCTTATTCTTCAGATGACTGCATGGAAAAGGAACAGCAGTTAGAAGAAAGTAGTTTCCAGCTGATTCCTTTTATCTTTTCCTAGTCAGGGTGCAGCTGCCCGCGGTTATGAAGTAACATGCAGGCCCTCCCTTTATCAGCACTTCCCAGACTCTGGCATTAAAACCTGTACAACAGAGGTGTGGGTGTGGGAGTGTGAGAGTGTATCTTTCACTCACAGTATCTGGCTCTCATTGGATTAAGGCAGTCCACCCCAACCCGATCTTTTCTACAACTTTTGGACTGCAACTTAGTACGGCCAGTGCCTGCTGGGGGTGATGGAAGCTGTAGCAAAAGACATCTGGCTGGGGAAGGCTGCAGTAACCTTGCTCCAAGTCTGCTTTTGCTCTGGCAGGGATATGTCTGATGGCAGACTTGTGGAATCGGGTGTGATTGCGGCCGAGAGCATCGGGCTTCAGTGCACTCACCTCCAGAGCACAACAAATTGGGATCGCCATTCCTCACATCCTGGCGCCGGAACCGCCTGCCAGGAAGGAGGGAGAGACAGAGCACAAAGTTTAGTCGGGAGGTGCGTCCAGCTAGCGGCCAGATTCCCCTGCAGGAGCCACACAGAGCACGCTCCTGCGCAGGCTGTGCCCCCAGGATCGCGCTGCAGAGGTGGCCCCTACTGTGCATGCCCGGTCCTGCCCCTGGACAGACGGAGGCAGCCCAGCGCTGGGCTGGGACCCTCCCCGTTTCCCCACGCGGCACACGGCGAGGCAGCGCTGTGCTGGTGCCCGGCGGTGCTCTGGCCCTACCGTTTGGTGTTGTGCATGTAGCGCGTGCAGGCGGTGCCATCCCAGGCACAGTAGGGGTCCCGCGCTAGGCAGCACTCCGCACAAGCTTTGCCGTAGATCCCACAGCGGTGCAAGGGCAGCTGGGAAATGGAGGTCCTGGAGCCCATGTAGAGCTGTTGCTGTTGGGAGACAAAGCCACGCGGCCCTGCTCAGGCCCAGCCACGCTCTCCTGCCCAGATGCTCCCAGCCGACGGCAAGATCGCAGCTCAGCCACCTGAGTGCCACAGCCCCAGAGAGACAGACACTGACCCCTCCCAGGGACAGGGAGAAGGCAAGTGCCCCCCCCCCCGGAACAGCATGGCCACTGGCAGCCTCGACAAGCGGGGATACGACCAAGGGCACCATGGCAAGTGTTCTTTCTCAGCCTCTCTGGTGTGTATTTTGCAGGTGCCCAGGCTGGCCTTCTCATGAGGATGGCGCGATCCTCGGCCCCAGGTGATGGGTGGCGGGAGTGGCAAACTGTTTGCCCCCTCCCACTGGGAGGACCAGCCAGCCTGTGAGGCAGCACTGCAGTGGGGGGGGGGGGCGTTGCCGGCAGGCCTCTCTGCAACTGCCCCCTGCCCTCTGGCTCATTCCAGGCATCCTCCAAGTGAGACAGCTGGAGGGCTTTCTGCAGAACTGGCCCTAAGCAAGGCGTTGGGGGGGTGGGGGGCTCCCCTGGAGAGGGAGGGAAGGAGAGAGCCAGGCTAGCAATGGAGAGGGCGTGGCAGTGGGCTCTCTCGCTTCAGGCAGTGGGAGAGCCTGCACCAGCACTGGTAGATGCAAGGTTCTCCAGAAAAGCACCTCCCCAATAGCAGACAAGCAATATAGCAGAGACTCCCATAAACGCAGCAGATGGGGAGGGATTCTTCTTGAGGCCGTGCAAAGGTGAGGAGAAGAAGGGAGAGTACTTCCAAAGAAGACAGCTCTAGGAGTCTTGATGAGGGGCCATCCCTCGGGGAAGCCTGAAGTCCCACTGCTAAACCAAACAAAGATGTGGTGGGAAGTCCTGAAGGAGTCGGGGCAACTACAGCAGCACCATGATAGTTAAACCCAAACAAGCACCCTCGTCAGTGAAAATATATACATATAACACTTCCTGCCCAGGTATTTTCCTACACAGGTCTCTCTACCCAGAAGGGTTTATTTGCTTAGAATACTCATAGGCCACCTTTTAGGATCAAACAAAAGCCTTCCCTGCATTCAAAGATTTGCTGCCTCCCTGCATTTCTGCTCCCACTTCTTGGCTCCCCAGTGTCCATCTGTTGTTCTACCTACCCGCTTGGAAGAGATCTGTATGCTGGTAACTGGAGAAGAGTCCTGCCAATGAAAAAAGAGTATTATGATGTAACTGAGTGTCAGCATCCCAGATGTCCTTCTCAAGTATTCCTCCGCTGAGGGCCAGGGTCTAAGCACTTTTCCAGGGGAAGCCTGGGAATGGTGAACCTGCCTGATTCACTTTCTATAACCTTTACCTTTTTCTACACAAATTAATCCTATCCTATCTCTGCATCAGTTTGCAATTTTAAAGTCCTCACAGAAGTTTCTGTGCATTTTTGTAGATGTTTACATGAACACAAGAATTTGTTTTCTAAACAATTTCACCCAATGCACAAGTTTTTTTGTTAGCATCTTTTAATAACAGATGGGGTTTTGTATCTAGTTTTCTCTAATGTATGCATTGCTTGCACATATATTTTGATCAGAGAACAACTTTTTATTTTGATACACCTTCATGGACTGTTTTGGAATCCATCATTTTGTATCCCTTTCTGGCTGGATTGCATTAGGCTCCAAGTGTATTGAAAAGAAAGGAAAGACTCCCTCCAAATGCTAACAGTAAGACAAACTTGGGATGAAATGGCTCACCAGCTGCAGCTGGTTCCATCTCTCATGCTAAACTAACCTCATGGGAGATTCCAGTTTTTAAAAGAAAGAGGCAAACTGTTATGCGGAAAAGTTGAGCTGACAATGGAATTTATACCTTAGATCAGCTAGTAGTTTTGGAAAATGAATTCCTGCAGTTCTCAGAATTGTGGATTTCATGCCATTCATTGTCTAGTAGTAGTTGGTCCATCAGTGATGAGAACTTCAGATTTTGTAAGAGGAATTAACTGGTTTTTAACCAAAACCTACGCCTACAATGTCACCTCTAAACATCATTTGGAATGTAGTAAAACAGATGTTCAGAAGGTCAGAGCTGAATGGAATAAGGATTTGGATTTCACTGTACAGTTTAATGAATGAAAAGGTACTGTAGATTTGAGAGTGAGACTGATTCAAGAAAAAATCAATGTTTTGTGTATTTTGGACACCTCCAAGGTTTGATAAGAAGCAGGCAGGTAGTTCTGCCAGATGCTGGTGACAAAATGAGGACCACCCTGGCTTCCTTCTGGTTGGAAGTCATTGCTCATATAAATTTTATTCCTCAAAACAGTGGGCATCCAGTGATCAAAGGCTGCTAACCCAAAGAACTTCATCCCACCCCATTCCAGAGCACCCAGGTTACTCACTCTCTCCGTTTCCCAGGCAAAGTCCTAAATGTTGTAGACAGGAGAAACAGGGCTGCCCTGAAGGGACACTGCTGCATTGCGGTCCGCTCACAATGCAGCTGCATCGGCTCAGCCCCAGCCAACCTTCTCCTCTTGCCCCGCTCACCTTGAACACCTGCAGCTCCTCCAGCAGCAGCTCTTCCATGTTTTGCCAGCTCTCCTTGGGCACAGAGACTACCTTCAGGACTGTGCCAATGTCTGCCAGGAGGGGTAAAGTAAAGCCACTCAGCACAGAAGGGGGTTACAGCAAGTGGAGGCTTCCTGAGTCCTCAAGACAACTCTGAAGAACTATGTCTCCTTTCTCTCCCTGCTCCCCACCCACCTCTCCCAAGAAAGATTGCTCACAGCTGCAGAAGCCATGCAAGGAAGAAAAGTAGGCCAGTTCAGGTTGCACAAAAGGACACAAGTTCCAAGTTGCAGATGTGGCTTCTCCTCCCAATCTGATTGAAAACAGATACTCTGATGCAGGTTTCGAGAGAGCCTCCCCCAGCCTGGTACTTTTCAGATAGCCTGGGCTACAGTCCCTCTCAACCCAGTACCAGTGGGGAGTGATGGAAGTTGTGTTCGAAATATTTGGAGGACACCAGGTTGAGGAAAGGGTTTAGGGGATTCAGCAGCTACCTCAGGGATCTTGTTCCAAGCCATGCTTGATCTTGTGCTAACTTTGATCTTGTGCTAAAATCAAAGCCACCTAAGCATCAACTGCAGGAAGAAAAGTGGCATGATAGATCAGGGCAGACTAGACATGATGGAAATCCATGACTTTGGGGTGGGTGGGGAAGGACGAATGGCAGCCTTATGGGCTGTGATGATGACTGTGTACGTTAGCCCTTTTCCTGGTGAAAAATGTTTCCCCAAAGATTCTATTCACCCCACAGGAGAAGACTTCCAAATATGATACCGATCCCTGCATGTTTTTTCCCTCCAGGGCAAATAGCAGAATCAACTATTTCAACTGGGGAAATTGGGCAGGTCCCAGTCTGACTTCCCACCTTGGCAAGCCATTAGATCAAGGCAACAACAATACGGGATCCTGATCACAGATCACTCCTGTTGATGTTGCTTAACCCCAAGGCAAAGTCTGGTGCTGGAGCTGGGTTAATCGGTTTCAGTTCCCGTAATACCCATTTTCTTTGCTGAAATGGAGACTTCTATGGGAATAATCTGAGCGGGGTCCAACTTTTGTTTGGGCCTGAACACAATTCAGTGGAAGACATTTCAGCTCCTGCTATGTCTGATCAGATCCCCTACATCTATCAGTCGTGTGGTGCTTAATTAGATATACAGAACCCAGTGCAATCCAGATACTTCTGTTAGTGCCCACCAGGCATCCTTTATGCTATCTTTTAAGGGTTTTTAAAACTTAAACTGGGAGGCAGATATGCTACATAGCAAAGGGCTGACCTCAGTGCCACCTTCCTTTGGCATTAAGAGAGTGGCTTTGTGTTTTGGACCCTGGCTCTCAATTCTTCCTTGCACTTCAGTTACTGGGAAAGTTCCTCATCTTTCTGCCTCGCCTTCTGGGAAATGAGTGTTTTGCTACTAACCCTGCCCACTACCGGAGTCATTTTATGGACGGCCAAGTCGCCCAGCATGCCAGCCATTTTCCTGGAGAGCCTGCCACACCCCCTCAGCGTGCCACGTGTGCCCGCTGTCCCAACAAGGGTGGGGACCCTGGGCTACGCTCCCCATGAGGAGAGAAGGCCTGCAGACACACCTGTGCCTATGAAGAGGACGTCATAGTGGCCATCGGCTGCTGCCACGCGGTCCACTGCGATGCGGGTGAAAGTGTAGCCCACGTTAGTTTGCAGGAAGACGGGTCGCTGCCCGTGTGGCAGCACTGGGTTGTACATCAATGGGTGGTTGCGGGCAAACTGGATCACGTCATCAGGGAAATCCTTGGTGGAACTAAATGTGCCAAAAGTTTTGCTGGGACACTGTGAGGGGAAGAGAGGAGGGAGGTGAATGGGGACAGGAGCCCATGGATGTAAAAGATGTCTACTCCTAGACGACCCTTTTCATAGGCCTGCGTGAATCCCATATTACTCTCCTTCTAATCCAATGGTGCCTCACCATTCATTTTCCCACCCTCTCATGCAGCTCTGCCCAAGTCCCCGGTTCTGGCCTTCTCCTTTCTTTACTGAAGCCCCAAACTCCTGCCAAGTACCAGCCACAGTCCGGATGCGAAACCTTCCTGCAGCACCAGCCCTGCTCTCTCTCTTGCCAGCATCCTGCTCTTCTCCTCTGGCCAGGCATTCCTCAAGCACATTGTTCTCTGCATGCCCACATCTCTGCTAGCTTCCATGGCCAACAGCCAGGCTTCACTGCAGGATACCCAGTCCAAGGTACGCACCATTCCTGGGCGGGGATAAGGGACCCGGCCTTGGTAGGACACCCACTGATAGTTGGGTCCCTCCTTGTGAGCAAAAGGCCCCAGGAAGGCTCGGCGGATGTCGTTCATGTGGTACACGCAGACAGCAGAGCCTCTGAAAACAGTGCTGCGGGAGCAGAGTAAAGAGGAGCGTTAGGGGAAGGTAGGGAAGGAAGCCTGGAAGGAAGATGGAAGCAACCACATTCGACCCACCACTCCACACGGTCTGCAGAGGTGGTTATTGTGACGGCAGCCTCAGCTGCTGCAGCCTGGTGGGAAAAGGCAGCTTGGCTGGAAAGGGGGTGGGTGGGGAGCAGGTCATGATCTGTCGGTAGTTCCCTGATTCACAGTAGATCGCCAAGGACTTCTGACTCCCAGATGTTTAGCAAACATTGCAATCAAACAGCTGCCCCCACCGAGATTGGGCTGCTGAGAGGGAGGAAGCTTCAGCATAACCAGAGTGGACCTTTGCATGAAAGGACTGGGAACTCAGCTCAGTTCTGGGCCTGAAAACAAATTCCAGGCTCAGCAAGCGCTCAGAGGCAGCCTGTTCTGGGATTCTAAGGGTGCACCTGGCACACTTTTCACACCTGGATCTGCACAGCAGACCTGGAAGCTCCAGTAAAAAAACAAAGGTGATCTGACAAGCCTGGAGTCTGTCTACCCCTGAAGTAAGGCACCCACTGGAGACAGGAATCCTTACCTGGAGGTGGTGAAAACAGCATAGAGCAATGGGTTACGCTTGTCCCTGGTTGGCAGCAGGAAGACATCCCCTGAGCAAAGCAAAAAGAATTGCAGATGGAGGGGAGGAGTTGGTGGCATGAAACACTCCACCCTGTGCATGGATCATCTGCTTTCCACCCAAAGGAAACTGTGACCTGACTTGGAAGTGATCCTTCTCTAGTCCACACACCCAAAAAATTCACCAGAGGAAGGCAAATCTAGTCCCTGCCTATTTTGAACCTATGGCAGCCTTCCTGAACCTGGTGCCCTCTAGATGTTCTGGACTTCAACTCCCATCGGCTGCAACCAGCTTGGCCAATGATCAGAGGTGATGGGGGTTGCCTTTCAAAACATCTGGAAGACACTGCTTTGGGGAAGACTGTTCCTGCAGTGGTTATGAGGTAGTAACTCAAATTTTCAAACAATTGCAAGTTGCACAATATCCCAGTGTCAGACTCTCTAAAGTAACAAGAACTGTAGACACTGAAACCAGACCCCTTAAGACCACAGGATTTGGTTGTAATGGAGGCAGGAGACAAAGAATAACAGGCTATCTTAAGATTATGACTGTAGGACAGGAAAACCTGAGTTGTTTCAGAGGGAAATGTGTTCATTTACTGTGCTTTGCAAGAGGCGAGGTTGTGGAAATGATTAATGCAGAAGCAACTTGTTTTATTACACCAATTATTGCAAAGTCTTAGAATGAGATGGCATTGATGATGAAACAGATTGCAGCTGGCCCCTCAAAGTGTTATGAGATTCTTAAAACATGTCCCACCAGAGTTTGGCTCTGTATGCACATGTATGAGCGTGCACCTCTTTCTGTTCCAGAATGTAAGAGATGCTAATATAGCTCCTAAGTTCCACTGCCTGGAGGCTGGAAGGCAGGGCAAAAACATAAAGACAGGGAAGGCTGTGAAAATGAGGGATGTGCCCCCTGCCCCTATACCATGCCCCTTTCCTGCTGTACTGCAACCTCAAATGTCCCTTGCCTCCTTTAGGATCATCCAGCCCCCCAACAGTCCCAAGTCACTCACGAAGCTGGTCAAAATGGGTGTCGCTCCCATCACTGCCTGGGACGGCACACACCAGCCGGGCCTTTAGAAATGTTGTCCATTTGTTCACCAGGCTCCTCTGTCCTCCCATATCATTCTGCAGGGGGGGAAGAGAAGAGGCTTCTCAGGGGCTAGCCAGGGAGACGTCCCCGCTCCGCGGCTGCTGGGGCCCCATTCTGCAATCTCAGTGCCTGCCTTCCAGCAAGGGCCCCACACCAGCAGCCGACTTGCCACCATGGGGATCAAGGCACAGGCCTCAATGTGAAAAGGCCTCCGGAAGGGTGTAACTTATCAGCCTGGTGGAGCAAGAGTCTCCCTGCTCCTGCAATAAATTCCAGTGCCAGCAACCTGCACCATTAGTCGCTGGTTCCGGTGCTGGGCCCTCCACAGGCAACCCAAAGGCCGACACCCCACGCGCAGTCTGCCCAACCCCATGGACGTTCTCATTATCCTCAGCCCCGGGGGAAGCAAGCCCAGCACACTCACCCGGCAAATCTGGCCAATGCGAGCAAAGGTCTGCTTGCCCAGTCCCTGGGATCCCTCCACTGCCGTTTCCCGGAAGAAGAAGAAGATCTTGTCATCATCAGGGTTCTCGCTCTCCGGGATCCAGAAGACATCAATGAACTTGGGCTCTTGGGTCAGAGGGTGGGGAGAAAATGTCAGTATAGGGCAAGGAGATGTTGGGGCTGACCTCTGAGGATGGATGATCCAAGAAGTGTGCGTGGAGGAAGACACGAGATGGGCAATGCTGTACAAATGACTTGCTTCCCAGCACTTGGCTTCTCCTCTACTTAGCTTTGAGGTTTAGAAAAGAAGATACTCATAGGTCAGCCAGTACAGTGCAAGTGGTTAGAGTCTCAGGCATGTAACAACATGTAATGATACATTTATTACAGACAATAATAAGCATTTATGATAACACTATAAACAATAACAAGCATGCAAATAAAAAGCTATCCCTACAATGCAATCATGTTTGCAATTTAAGCCAGTTGTGAACCTTTTGAGCCTACCAGCATCTCAAATAGAACCAGTGTGGTGTAGTGGTGAAGAGCGTGGGACTGGGTCTCAGGCGATCTGGGTTCTAGTCCCCACTCAGCCATGGGGCCAACTGGGTGGCTTTGGGCCAGTCACAAACTCTCCGCCCAACCTACCTGACAGGGTTGTTGTTGTGGGGATAAGATTGAGAGGAGGAGGAAGAGAATGATGTAAGCCACTTTGAGTTCGTAAGAAACAAGTGGGATATAAATCTAGTAAATAAATAAATAAATGCACCATCTGCATTTTGTTTAGTGAATATTCACTTATAATGGTACATAAGTGGGATTACTAGATTGCACGCTCCTTAAACTATTGGTTCCCTAGTTATATTTTTATTAAGACTCATTTTCATTTGATTGAATTGTTCTAGGGTATGACTTCTTTTGCATATTCTGTCATTACTATGCACTGAAAGCTGCCACGGGTCCAACAATGCAGATTGTCCAAATGTCAGCAGAAGGAAATGCCTAATGCTATTTCAGAGGGGAAAATTAATGAAGATCGATGAAGACTTCTCCCAATAATAAATATAAAAGAGCAATGCAGATTGTCCAAACATCAGCAGAAGGAAATGTCTAATGCTATTTCAGAGGGGAAATTAATGAAGATCAACGAAGATCCCTCCCAATAATGAATGAATGAATGAAAAATAGCAGCTCTGTAAGGACACAGGAAGCTGCTCTAGGCTGTGTTAGACTGCTGGTCCATCTCGCCAGGTACTGTTCCTACCTGTGACTGCAAGTGGCTCTCCAGGGCGAAGGGCCGTCTCACAATGGGGTCTCCCACCCTTCAACTGGAGATGTCAGGCGCTGAGGCTGAGGCTGCCTGCATGCCAAGTGTGGGTTCTACCACTGGGCTTCCCCATGTCTATAGGCCAATCTAACTGGGACCACACTGTTCTCACCTCCCCAACACACACAACACAATTTGTATTTGTGCTTAGAGTCACCCCCAAAGCTGCTATTAGCTTGGGAAAGAGACAGGCTCAGATGCTGGACCCATCTTCTCCTGCTCAGTGTCAACCAATGGTTTGGGAGGGGCATTTTGATCAGATAAAGGCCAAAGGAGGAACAAGTTAAAATTCTTTCACACAGCATGCAACCTCCTGGAATTTCAAAGCGGTAATGTGGGAGAGCTCACTTGTAAATGAAGCAACTGAAACCCTCAGAAGATCCTAGCTGCGTGTCTTCTCCATCGTGTCTAGCCTGGCCTGTTGCCAGGTTGGTCTGAGGTCAGGCTCCAGCCACAAGTGGCGGAGCCCATCCATCAGTCACTATACAGCTGGAGAGCAACCTGATTGTGAAGCAGCAGAACCTGCACAAGTTGTACGAACTCTGGATTTCTCAATCGCACAGATGGTCATTTTCTTCCACCCCCAAAACAAATGGCCCACCAGGAGAAGAAAAGGGGCAACAGACCAAGTGTAGGAGAGCAACTGGCCCTGCAGTCCTCTCCTCAAAACTGACCCATTTCCCCTTCTCTGGGATGCTCTTCCCAGCCCCGTCACTGACCATTGAGCCATCGGGAGTCATGTTGCTCGGTCCGGATGGAGGGCCTTGAGCCCAGGCTGCGGAAGATGGTGAAGTCCCGGCCCATCAGGTCTGTAGCAACACCAGAATAAAGTTCTTCCCCTGCCCACCACAGAAGGATAGTGGTTAGAAGGGTCCCTGGCTCACCTGATCTGTTCCCAATCCCTGAACGCAACCAGAGCTGGTGGACATACTGCAGCAAGCATAGGGAACTGGCCGCCCTCCAGGTGTTCTGGACTTCTATGCTCATCAGTTCCAGTCAGCATGGCCAGTGGTCAGGGATGACGGAAGCTGCAGTCCAGAACATCTGCCCCACCCTACCCCCCTGGATTGGATTATGCCCCAGAGGCGCTTCCTTGGATCCCCATGCAGGACCACCCCTCTTAAACACAGAGCATTTCCTGTGCAGAGTGCCAGGTAGCAGCAGCCATTCCTGGAGCCCCGCTGGAACCCAGAAAGGAACATGCACCTCGCCCCCCCCCCCCGCAGCCAGCAGTTGCATCCTCAGCAGTGCCGGCAAATGTACGCTGTTCCCACATCCAATGGAAAGCAACATCCACTTCCCCTATGCAGGAAAAGCTTTGGCAGCCCCCAGAGCACAACCCCTCTCATCCTAGAGCTCTGTCGTGCTAGCGAAGTCTGATGCAGGCTGTCATCCAGAACCTGGGGAGCCCCGGGCTGCCTAAGCCAGCTTCAGGGACTTTGTGTTCTTGACAGAGGAAGTATCACCTGAAATTCAAGGCCTGTAGTAACCGCCTGCCCTGATCTGGATGCTAGGAACAACCCACTGCTTTCTCAGGTCAAGCCCCCTTCAAAAATTGTGTGGATATGAGAGATGGAGAGACAGGGAGGCGTTAATTTTGGGGGCATCCCACAGAATATCCTTACTATTGGTAGAAGTAGTTTGGGGGCCTGGTCCCTTACCTGCAAGCACTGAAGCAGCCATATGCCGTGGGTCATAGGGGCTCTTGCCTTTGCCATCCTCCAAGCTCCTGAGGTCCAGTTTAAACACAAGGTCCTGGAGAGAGGAGCAGGTACATCAGCAAAAGGGACAGTGAGGAAAGCTGAGGACTCCTGTGGCTCCCCTGCCTCAGTTCCAGCTCCTGCAGCTGCTCTTCACCTCTGTGTGCAACCCCGCCCCCACTACAGCCATCTTGGCACCCTGTGGACCCCAGTGGCGCTCGACTGACCTCCACATGCTGTCCGACTTCGACAAAGCCGCAGGTAGGGTGGAAGGCCCCAGTGCCACAAGCATACAGGTGTGTGCGGTTGTAGAGGTGAAGAATCTTGACAAAGTTCATGCACTCAGCCTGCAAAACAAGAGCAGTGCTTGTGATTGAGCAAGGCACCTTCTGGACTCACGGCTGGGAAATGAGTCGGACAGAAAGAAAAGAGAACCTGTCTGAAGGGCCTGAGAGGAATCGATGGAGCTGCAAGAAAGGGAGCCAAAGGGTTTGGATGCCTGTACAGGAACAAGGGAGCTGAAAGCAAGGACTATTCTCCATCCCTGACTATTGCATGCTATCCAGATTCTTACTTCAGATGTGCCCCTGCTCCTGCCAGAAAGAACACCTCATGGGGCAGGCAAAAGCTGGGAATGAAGTGGCAGAGGCCATCACAATGTCCAAAAGGAAGCATGACAGTTTGCCAGTGCTGCTGGCATTTGCTGGGTTGGCACTTTCCTTGTTTCCAGACACCCTCCCCTGACATTGCTGAAATGCCGAGGCATGTGGGAGCCTCTTCTGCATCAAACCCGTGCGGTGGAAGATGTCCCGGTGCAGCGCTGCCCTTGGGTGATTGAAAGGAAGCCTCCCGTTTCCTCCAGCAGAGGGCGCCATGGGAACAGGCGTTTTGCGGAACCAGAAGGCATCAAGAGGGATAGGGGAGCCGAGTCAATGCCTGTCACCAGCAGACACGAAGACCCCCGTCTGGCTGCTCCGAGGCCCTTCTTCCTCCCCAGCAGCTCCTCCCCTGCAGCAGCCAACCTTTGTTTGGCTCCCTGCTAGGCCCAATTAACTCCTGCAGGATCCCTCCTTCCCAGTCGGCTCATTAAAAGTGGCTGATGATTTAAATGTCTGGTGTAACTGCGGCAGAATCCGTCAGGCAGTAACCTGTGAGCCTGGGGAAGGGGCGAGCCTCGGGAAGCGAACGCAGACGGAAGCCGCAGCACTGTCCAGCACTGTCAGCCCCCCTGAAAGGTCTCCTAGGAGGTCCCGCACAGACAGACGCGGAGCCCCGCGGAGCTGCCTCCTGCCTGGTCTCCCGGAGGCAGATCGAGCGCATGCCTGCCAGAGCGGCCGAGGCAAACGGGGCTGCGGAGGGCTGAATGGAGCCGCTTCACACGCGGCCGGCAAGTGCAAGGCAAACAGCTCTTCGTGGCAGAGCAGCGGGCGGCAAGACCGCAAACATGTGGGGGTGGGGGGTGGGGAGAAGAGAGCACAGGGCCATGCGATACTCAGAGCAGGCCAGCCCCCTGGATGTTGTCAGACTACAGCTCCCATGAGCTCCAGCCAGGATGGACAATACTCAGGGATTTAAGGGGAATGTAGTCCAAAACATGCAGAGGGCACTGGGACCAGGAAGACCAGAGTTCAAGCCACAGCCCTGTCACCGGTGCAGCGTTCGAACTTTTCATGATTTGACAACAGGACCAGGAAGAGAGCACCGAGGCCAGCATGTGGAAGCCGGACTGGGGCTCAGCGACCCAGGTTCCAGTCCCCACTTGACCACAGGGCTCGCTGGGTGGCTTTCAGCCAGTCATGAACTCTCAGCCTAACCTACCTCACAGGGCTGTTGTGAACATAGCATGGACAGCAGAAGAGCGATTATGTAAACTGCCTTGGGTTCTGTGTCAGACGAAAGAAACACTGGATACAAATGTGAGGAATAATTAAAACAAGGGAGAGAGACCTTATGACTTGTTTACAACAGGCCTCATTGTCTTACTTAATTTCCTTTCAATTTACCCCTCCTTTTTTCATGTGTGCCTATAACTCACTCCCTCTCCAGCACACGCACATGCCCCCCCTGTGTTCCCTTTTGGGAATTTGGGCTGAAATGTTTCATTCCCTTCCCCAGTTGCCTCACAATACTCATCAGTAACTCATGCATCCTGAGGCAGGCGAAGTTCTGCCTCTGTCCCGTCCTGTCCCCCCCGCACCCCGCGCCCATCACACACACTCACACACACACACACAATGGAAGCAATGACCGCATCTGCAAGACAGTCCATGGGGGAAAGGAGGGAAAGCGCATTTGAAGAGGGAAGGAGGGACAGAGGGAAGGGAGAAAGGGGGGTGGTGAGCAATGGCCAGGGAGAGGATGCCATCCAGCGGCACACCCAAGCGAGTCACGCGAAGGGTTCCCGCAGATCCTCATCCTGCATCCAATGTTTCTCAGTGACTGTTCAGGTGAAAAAAATGCAAGCCTGGACATGATTAGCCAAACACAGTCTGATTCGCTTGCTCATTTTATGTGGTGGAAGACGAATTATTGAGAGATGGAGATGGGGGAGGAGTATGCAACACACGCAAATGTGTGGAAGTAGCCCCAACTGCTTTTTCAAAAAATCAAGGAAAGCAGCTTTAGGAAGAGGCAATTCTGAATAAAGAACTGGGCTGGGGAGGATTTGGCTTTGGCTGCATTCTGGGCCATGTACCAAAAAACAAAGTTAACTGGGAGCACTGGTCCCAGCTTTGTGTTTGCAGCGGGGAGGGCCTTAGGCAAGACGGGGGTTCACCACCACCTCAGTTCTCTCCCCACTTAGTCTCTGTCCCTGCTCCTCAGACCACTGCCTGATGGTGGAGCACAAGCCAAGGCAAGGAAGCAGCCCCATTGCTTCTGTTTCCAGTACTTGTCTGGCCCATGAGGAACAATGAAGAGGGAGTGACAAGCAGTGGGAGCAAGAACAGGGCAGGAGAACTCGGCAGCGGCAGCGGGTCTCTGCAGACACACGGGTGCCCAGGTTCCGAATGGGTTGAGGGACAAAAACACATTTGCTGCCCCGGTTGAAGACTAGCCGGGGGATGTGTGGGGGCAGTGCAACCCCACTGGTTCTTCTGTACTTCTCAGCAGCTTTCAGAGGTTTCCTCCTGGCCAGTTTCTATGTGCTGGGCTTGGAAGGCTTGGTGTTAAGGTGCTTTTGGCCCTTCCTAGAAAAGAGGTCTTGGAGGGTGGTGATGGGACTCCGAGCCACCTCATGACTGCTAGCCAGTGGGGTGCCAGAAGGTTCCATCCTGTCTCCCTGTTTCTTAACACTCGTGAAGCTGCTGGAGGAAGTCATCTGGAAGGCTGGGGTGAAGCGTCATCATCCATGTGGCTGACAGCCATCCACACATCCTGGTGAAGCTGTCAATCACTTCAGCCAAGTCTGGAAATTGTTTGGGGGTGGATGAGAGAAAACATGCCAAAATTTAATCCAGACAAGATGGAGGAACTGTGCATTGGGAAACCAGTCTTTTTCGATGGAGGTTAACAGCTGGTCTTAGATGGGGCTGCACTCTTCCTGAAAGACCAGGAGCATAGTCTGGGAGTCCTTCTGCACTCTGGGCCAAGCGGGGAAGCCCAGGTGAGCCGCTAGGCCTAGAAGTGCGTTCTACCAGCTTAGGCTGATATGCCAGCTCTAGCCCAGTCTGGAGAGGATGGCCAGTGCCTCAGTTATCCCTGCGTTGATGATGTCCAGGCTGGGTCACTGGGATGTGCTGCACATAGGGCTGCCCCCGAAGACAATCCAGAGACTTGATTTGGTACAGAATGAGACAGCCTGATTCAACCACGTAACTCCTATACTGTGCCAGCCACACTGGTTAGTGGTTTGTTTCCAAGCACACCCTGAAGTACTGTTCTCAAAAAGCCTTCAAGCACTTGGGACCAAATTAAAGGACTACCTTTACTCCCTGTCAGCTGGCCTGTACTTCAGATCAGCAGGAGAGGGCCACCTGTGAATGTAGTTGGGTGAGCAGTGAGAGAAGGCCTTTTCTGCAGTGGCCCCATGCCTCTGGAATCAGGGGCCTGCCAAGCCCCAGCATTACAAGCTTTTAAGAAGGCCCAGAAAGCCTATTATTTACCATAGTCTTCCCTGAATACATTTATTATTCTACTGTTCTACTGTTGCTTCCACCGTGTTTCATTGCTTTTTAAGGCCATATTGGTTTTTATGCTTTATCACTGTACACTGCATTGGGAAGGCATCTGCCCTGAAAGCAAGCTAAGAAATCGTTTAAAGAAAGGTTCATAAATGATGTGCCAACCCTAGGGAGCAGCTTCCACAAGTCAGCAGCTCCCCTTCACTGTCCTCCTCAGCCACCCAGAGCATCCATGGGTTACTCTGCACTTGCGTATCCTGCAAACAAGAGCTTCTCATGTGGGAAAAACATCCAGGCCCAGGTGTCCTCTCTGTGGCTGTTGTGACTGATGCTAACACCTGGCATTCTCATTCAAGGCGAGGGAAACTGAAACCCAAGAATAGGGATGGTGCTCAATGTGCAGAAAAGGTGCGGCCCTTTAGGTGTGCAGTTGTGCAGCCAGTGGAGAAGAGAGAGGGGCCAGATGCAACGCGGCTTGGGGCATCAGACATGGCCCCCATGTTCCCACCCCGCTGTCTCAACAATTCTCCCCAGAGACTGGACATGTGCCACTGAGCTTCTGCTGGGTTTCTCCAGTCCTGTCATTCCTCGAGACATCAGTCATATCTGACAAGTCAGAAGGACGGGCAATATGACAAACGGCATTCTTGGAATGCAAGACAGTAAGGAAAGGCCTGGGAAGAAACTCTGGCCCTGGGGCCCTTTAATGCCAGGCAGTATGAATGTGGCAAATTAAGCCCAGGCTGTGTCTCAGTGGTACACTGAGCTACACTGTCCTCTGCATGCAGAAGGTCTCAGATGTGATCTCCAGGCAGGCCTGAGGGAAACCCTCCCTGACAGCCTGGGCAGCCATTACTGCCAGACAGTGCAGGCATTACTGGCCACTTTCTCTCTTCCCACTGAGACACAGGGTGGTGCCGTGGTGAAGAGTGCAGGTCTGGGATGCAGGAGATCTGGATTCTAGTCCCCACTCAGCCTTGGAGCTCACCGGGTGCCTTTGGGCCACTCACAGACTCCCTGCCAACCTACCTTATCCTTCTTGTGAGGATAAAATTGAGAGGATGAGAATTATGCAAGCTGCCTTGAATTCCTTGGAAGAAAACAAAGCAGGATACAAATAAAATATACTTGAGTTATCCACCACTTCTGTTAACCCCACATCTGCCTTGTTAAAAAATGTAGATGATGATGTTCCTTTTGCTGTGAGGCTCAGTCCCTGCCCTGAGATCTCATTGTCGCTGGCCTCAACGCTCCAGTCCTCTTAATGTTCATTCCAAGTGTGATCTTGTGGCTTATGTTCTGGTAAATGCTTACCTAAATTGTGACGTCAGTGAATTTAGACAAGCTACAACCATCAAGAGTTCCAGAGAGATTGGTCCCGGTCCCAGTCCCAGGCAAAATGAGTAGGCCTTTGTGCTAAAGCCTGCACCAGGCTACCAGCACCTGAAAAAATCTGAGCTTATGCGCAGGGCATCATTTTTCCAGCTAAAAGCTATACTGGGATTTTTGCTCTTGTTGAACAATTGTCAACTTTCCAAATCATTTGCACAACAAAAGGGAGTTTCTCATTTTTGTTCCAGATTTCTACATATTTGCTCGCAGCACTGAATGGCACTACTTTCAAACAGAGAGGAGACAACAGGGCAGGGTCTTTTAAGTTCTCATAATTCACATTCAATCTGCTTAATACAGAACTGCCCCTAATTAGGGACAATCTCTGCTAAGGAAAGGGGATCAAAGGAAGTTGTTGCTAATGGCACTGGATTTTAGTACTTTTAAGATTTATTTAGTTGTAAATGGGGAGCATGCTTGTGAGTGCTCCCCCCTCCACCTCTCTCTCTCTCTCTCTCTCTCTCTCTCTCTCTCTCTCTCTCTCTCTCTCTCTCTCTCACACACACACACACACACACACACACACACACACACACTCACACACTTCTCCAGAGCATCTTATCCACTTTCTGCCAGGCAGGTCCTGAGTAAACAGACCTGGGTTTGTCACATCCCCTTCATCACTCTTGAGTGAATGCAGGAAGACAAACAAGCTCAGGACTTTTTGTTTTCCTGCCCTTT